TCTTCAGCCTGCCACTCAAAATGTCTATCTTCCACTACCATATATGATGAGGGTCTCTTTGTCAGCTGCTTTCAGAGGTCTCTGGCTCTTACCCTTAGCTATTAACTGCTCCTTGACAGCTCTTAGTCTCTCATTATCCTGTAATACAGTTTAGGTGTAACCAACTAACTTCCTCTGTCTTTGTAGACATTGTTCTTCCCATGTATTTTCTTAAAAAAAAAAAAAACACTTTATTTATTTATTTATTTTAAGTAGACTCCATGCCTAGTGCAGAGCCCAATGCAGGGCTTGAACTCATGACTCTGAGATTATGACCTGAGCCAAGATCAAGAGTTGGACACTTAACCGAGTGAGCCACCCAGGCACCCCTAATAAAAGCTTTTTTACTTTTATTTTATTCTTTTTAAAATTTTTATTTAAATCTTTTAACATTTTTTATGATGTTTAATGTTTATTCACTTTTGAGAGAGACAGACAGAGCATGAGCGGGGAAGGAGCAGAGAAATAGGGATTCACAGATCCGAAGCAGGCTCCTGGCTCTAATCTGTCAGCACAGAGCCCAATGTGGGGCTCAAACCCACAAACAGTGAGATCATGACCTGAGCTGAAGTCGGACACTCAACTGACTGAGCCCCCCAGGCACCCCTATATTTTTTTAATGTTTATTTATTTTTGAGAGAGAGAGAAAGATAGAGCACAGTGGGGGCAAGGGCAGAGGGAGAGGGAGGCACAGAATCTGAAGCAGACTCCAGGGTATGAGCTATCAGCCCAGGGCCTGACCTGGGGCTTGAACTCACAAACTGCGAGATCTTGACCTGAGCTGAAGTCAGATGCTTAACCAATGTGGGGCTTGAACTTACGACCCCAAGATCAAGAGTTGCATGCTTTACCAACTAAGCCATATATTTTATTTTATTTATTTTTTATTTATTTATTTTTAAATGTTTTATTTATTTCTGAGAGAGAGAGACAGCGTGAGCAGGGGAAGGTCAGAGAGAGAGGGAGACACAGCATCTGAAACAGGCTCCAGGCTCTGAGCTAGCTATCAACACAGAGCCCGATGTGGGGCTCAAACCCACAAACCGTTAGATCATGACCTGAGACGAAGTCGGACGCTTAACCGACTGAGCCACCCAGGCGCCCCTAAGCCATATATTTTAAACACTGGCATCTCAGCACCCACCACAGAGGTATTCTCCTCCACAGAGATGTTTTTCCAGGTCACCAAAGGAGAAATCTTCAACATTTGAACCATCATCTTGTTCCAGGGACTACCTGTGTTTCATCAGGAGGGCATCCTCTGCCTGCTAGGCAGTGGATAAGCCAGTCCTAAATCTGCATCTTACCACCTGTCTTCCCTGACCACTCCGGGTACTTTTTGTGCCAGTTGGATTCACTGAGAAGCAGATGCTATACAGGATCCAGCATGCAGCGATTTTAGTAAGGGAAACGGGCAGGGAGCTCAGGAAGGTTGAGAGAGCCATGAGACCGTGATGCAAATCTGACCCCAAGTGAAGGAGAGAGGGAAGGAAGTGTGTGGAAGCATCTGTACCACCATGTAGTCTAAAGGAGGTTCAGTAAGGCTGTTGAGGAGTCCTTGAGTCAAAGATGATCATTAGAGGAGTCTCACTGTCACTCAAGGGCAAGCCTGGGTTCGAATATCTGCAATGGTCCATCATTGGGTGCAGCCCATACATAGTGTTGCCTTAGTGCAAATGCTTTGTTGGCTTTCATAACACAGCAGCTGGGCCCTTGGTTAAATTAGCTCCCGATAGTTAGAGGTCTGCAAGGTGCATTCTCGTGGCCACTAGAGGATCAACTCACTTTTCCTCAGGAGAACCCTACAAGGCAGGTACTCTAAATATTACCTTCTCATACATGAGAAAACTTGTCTAAGGCCACAGAGCTGGGAAGTGGCAAAGCCATCATTATTTTCTAGAACTGACCAAAATGAAAACTTTATTCTCAACTCCTGTTCCTCCAGTCTCCCCTCTACTGCCCATGTTGATGGCTGCTTCCCCTTGGGGGTATCTCACCATTGCCACTGCTATCTGTCCCCCAGAAATGGTGCTCTTTTCTAGACCCTATCCTCTGCTTCCTGATGCCCCCAAAGACACAAGCCCCCAGCATCTGGAGGAATGCTGCATTCCAGAATCCTCGCTGCACCGGGGCACTGATAGTTTCTACACAAACCTGCCTCTCGGGCACCAGGATAGGGTGAGCCAGCCTCTGTATTAGTCATACGTTCCTGCGAAACAACTTTATCACAAATGTAACAGCTTAAAACAACATTCATTTATTATCTCGGAATTTCTGTGGGTCAGGAATCGGGCTCAGCTTAGCTGGGTCCTCTGCATCAGGGTCTCATGAGGCTATAATCAAGGTGTTGGTCGGGGCTGCATTCTCGTCTGAGGTCTGACAAGGGAAGGGTGTGCTTTGGAGCTCATGCGATTGTCATCATCATTCAGTTCCTTGCAGGTTGCTGGACTGAGGGCCCCGGTTCCTTGCTGAGTGGTTTTCTCCACAGGGCAATTTACAACAGTTTGTGTCTTCAAGGGCAGCAGGACAGAGTCTCCCAGCAAGATGTAACATAATATCATACATCCTAAAACCTTTGCCTTATTCTCTTGGTTAGAAGCAAGTCAGATCCTGCCTACACTCAGGGAAGGGGATCACACAGGCCAAGGGCATCGGGAGGTGCAGATTTTGGGGTCACCCTAGAGACTATACCGCAGCTTTCCTGTTGATCGGCATCTCTAATGAAAAGAGCTCCGTGGGCTGTTTCAAAGTGTGGCTCTCCATGAAGTACAAGTCTACATAGAGAGGAAGCTGGCCTGGGAGATTGCCCCTTGGTGACTTCTCCAACCTTCCTTTCCTCCTGTGGTTCAAAAGTTCCTTCCCTTCATTGTGACTCAAACACCTGACATGCTGCAAGCACCCCACCAGTGCATCACATGTTAGACAGTAGGCAATGCAGACACCAGTGAATACAGCCGAGATCCTCTCCATATCCTGTTACGCAGTGTCTGAACATGGGCATGACATGACTGATCTGACTTTATGATATCTTTTTAAAAACAGCTTTATTGAGATACAATCCATACACTATATAATTAAAAGTGTACAGTGCAATGGCTTGTGGTATATTCAGAGTTGTGCAACCATCCCAACAATCAGTTTTAGAACATTTTCATCATCTTAAAAGGAAACTCCACATGCCTGAGCCAGCGCCCCCAATTCTTCCAACCCCCTAGCCCTAGACAACCACAAATCGATTCTGTCTCTATAGATTTGCCTGTGCTGGATATTTCATATAAATGGAATCATATGTGATCTGGCTTCTTTCACATAGCATGTTGTCAAGGTTCATCCATGTTGTAACATGAATCAGTACTTCATTTCTCTTTATATCCCATTGTATGGATTTGCCACATTATGGCATGGATGTATTCATCCATTCATCAGTTGATGCACACTAGGGTATTTCCACTTCTTGGATATTATGAATAATATTGTTGTGAACATTTTTGTTTTAGAATATTTTTAATGTTTTTTTTATTTATTTCTGAGAGAGAGAGAGAGAGAGACAGCGTGACCATGGGAGGGTCAGAGAGAGAGGAAGATACAGAATCTGAAACAGGCTCCAGGCTCTGAGCTAGCTGTCAGCAGAGAGCCTGATGTGGAGCTCGAACCCACGAGCCATGAGATCATGACCTGAGCCGAAGTCAGACACTTAATCGACTGAGCCACCCGGGCACCCCTGTTCTGAACATTTTTGTACAAGTTTTTGTAAGGATGTTATGTTTTCATTTGGGTATGTATCTAAGCATGGAATTGCTGGGTCATATGGTAACTCCAAGTTTAGGCTTTGAGCAGAACTATTGCATTACATTGTCTTTTGCTCTCTTTAAGTAAATAAAGTATCTTCTTTGATGATGATTTTATAATGCAAAATGGCAGAAACTTCCCTCTGAGATCCCTGAAAACTTGGAAATGGTTTAATTTCCACTGACTCTATTTCTTTCTGTTTGATCGTTCCTTTTTTCTTCCATAAGCTTTGGGAAACACAGGAACCAAATCTTTCCATACTCGGATGTGACTTCTAAATGAATCTGAAAATTGTCAAAATGACGTTCTACATGTTTTTGTGCCCAAGAATCAACAGGAGAAAGGGAGAGGGTCGGGGCTCCCTACTGTGGTTCTGGAGTTCCAGGGTTTCACAGATCTGTCTTTGCATCTTGTTACCTCTGCGACTGTAATCAAATGACTTCACTTCTCTGCTCACCTCTTCGTGTCTAGCACAGAGTAAAGGATGTGAGAAGCAGAGAGACAAGGGACAGGCTCTTTGCTCCCGCTTTGCGATTGTGTGGTCTTGGGCAAGTCCCTTCACCTCGCGGGACCTAATTTTCCCAGCTGTAAAGTAAATGCGTTGGACCCCAGGCTCTCTGAGGTTTCTGGCTCTGGCGTTCTGTGTTCTGTGCCTACCTCTGAATAGATTGAGCATTGAGGTGATGTCTCTCACAAAACCATTTTTTGTTGTTGTTCAAAACGATAAATCCTAGGTAGGGATTTCAAGGGGAAATTGTACGAGGCCTGGAAGGATGTACGGGGAATAAGATGCACTGCTATTTCTAGGAAGAAAATGGGCGTGGCGGGGCACGGAGAGGGGTGTGCGGACAGCAGGGAGCATCCTTACAGGTTGAGAGGGCGTCCGCAGGCTGGAACCGAGGCCGAGGCCAGCGAGGACCGAAGCTGCAGCGGCTGCGCACTGGCACGCCCAGCGGGCCGATTTGCGTGTCCCCGCCTCTAAGACTAGCTGGTTGGGCGGGCTGGTCTGGCGCCGCGCACCGATTGGCTGGGCGGCCCGCCGCTCAGGCCCAGGAGCGGACGGTTCCTACTGCGGCTGGGCACCGGCTCCGCTCCCGCGTCGGCCCGCGCTCCAGCTGCGCCCGGCCCGGCCCCGGCCCGGCTCGGCCCGGCCCCGGCCTCCGAGGGAAGGCGCCGCTGCCGCCAGGGCCGCTCCCAGGGCCATGAGGAGGCGGCGGCAGCCACTGCGGCCCGCGTCAAGGTGACCGGCCGGGACTGCAGCGGCGGCGGCGAGAGCGGGCGGTGAGAGGAGCGGCCCGTGGGGCGGGGCGGGGCGGGGCCCTGAGAGCCGGGCCGCAGGGAGCTGCAGGTGCGGGGGGCGGGACCTGGAGGGGCCTCTGGGTCGGGGAGGGGCCTCGGGGAGGGAGGCGGGGCCGGGGGGCATGGGTGGTGTCAGGAGGGTTCAGGGGCTCGGGGGACCCGGCCAGGGCCCTTCGGCGCGCTGGTCCGGCGAGGGGTTGGTGTGAAGGGCAGCGGGAGTGGGGGTGGAGGTGGGGACAGGCGGCAGGTGCGGGGGGCGGGGCTGGTGGAGGCAGTTGGGCGGGGCAGAGGCGCTGCAGGTGTGGGGGCGGGGCCAGGTGGGACCACAAATTAGGCAGTGGGAGGGGGCTGCGAGGTGAGGTCCGAGCTGCTGGAGAGCCGGGGCCTGAAAAAAAAAAAAAAAAAA